TTTATGAATAATTGGATTCTGAGTCAAATTATTAATTAAATAAAAATAGCTAGCGCCTATCTGGTTCTTTAAGGCTCATATGATCCAAGTCGACAAATAATATGTGATATATTTCTGAAACATCGGATTTACTCAAATGTATGTACATTTTAACTGAACATTTGAATAGTTCATAAAACATTATCATGGATACAATAATTGGGTGATAATATAATTTTCGATTATTACTAAATTGTGGTTTAAATAACGATAAACCAATTGAATGGAGATGACTGTCAGCACCCCATACAACCCATTCAATGGGTATAGGTTGAGACAAATCAAAATTATTTTGCATTATAGATAATAATTTGTTATTATAATATTAAATGTATGTAGCCTTGCTATTATTTAAAATGATTGAATTGTAAAATTAATGTTTAATGTGTTGCTTAACATTTGGCGATCAAAAACTTAGATGAATAATTAGCTTGTTTATCAAATGTTTCAAAACGTTTATCGTGACAATGTTTTATTAAAGTTATCATTAATATTAGCAAATTACGAAAATTTTTAGTTTTAATGTCAATTAAAAATAAGTGTTTTAAACGACTTTGCATTTTTAATAAAAATATTATATTAAAAACTACATTATAGTTAATCGGTATAAATTATATACACGTATATTATTATACTTTGATAAACATAAATATGTCAACAATGATAAATATGCTTATAATAATTTAATATAAAAGAATATTCTACTTTTTTCAATTATGAAATTAACTTAACTTAAAATTAATTATATTAATTTGTGTATTATATTTTTAAAAAATTATTTATTTCCTTATTTAATCACTAAAATTTATGTATCATGTTCTCATGCATGTGAATAACTTTATTAATATTCAAATAAATCTTTTATAAATATCCATTTATTTATTTAGGTTGAGGAATAATTTTCCAACAATACATTGGATCAGGGTTGTTCATATCGGCAGGTACTGGTGTACATTTCAAACCAGAATGACCTGTTTGATTAACCGGATTAACCGGATTTGAATCACCACCTAGATATATAAAACATAAATATTCACTGTGTGCTTATCAAGTAAATTAATTATTATATAATTGGTAATTAGTTTCGTAATAGTTAATAGGAGTATGGCTAAATTATTTTTATTTATACAATTTTTCCTATATAGTAACTGTGAGATAATTATAATCAAATAAACTATGGCCCTGGTTATAATTAATAACAAAAGTCAACTATAATATGAGATATATGATAATAAATGACATGTCTCACCGCAGTCCCTGTTAAACATCAATACGTATCCACGGGTAGGTGCGGCCGATATTTTGGACACTTGTTGACATTTGAGTGTAGGGTCTGGGTGTCTAATCCGGTAGTAATTGCCTGCCGGCGCCGTCAGCTTCTCAAATATGTACCAAAACGTGGCGTTAGTCTTAGGGGGTGCGGTGGGGTTGGGAGTGGCCCCCTGAAGGCATTGTGTCATATATTGCTGTGTCGCTTGGTTTTGAAAGCCATACAATTGGTTCGTACTTATAGTCAATGTCTTATTCGTCCGGAAGTCAATGATTGGGGCCGACTGTAGAGCACCGGTAGCTGTAAATAGTAAGTTGGTGCTTTTTATAATCTATGAATTTACTATATAATTTGTATTTGTAATTTATATAATATTTTAGTATATATATATATAATTTATTATTTTTAAGAATAATTTGCTAGTTTATAAATTAGACATAAAAATCAAATTGAGACATATTTATTTAAGTCGTTAGCATACCTGGCCCATTAATATTCACTATTATAGCACTAAATAATAAGAAACTTATAGAAATAAACATTTTAATCATTTTATAGCAAAACGAAAACTTTTAATTATTTTTTAATTGTGGTTTTAATCATTAAATACTCATTTGATATAGGCACCCATTTAAAATTTATTACTAATTAATTAATACAGTTGCGTTTATGTAAATATTTTCAACATTTTCATATTTGGTTCGGATGCACTGCGATTTCTATTTCAAAAAACCCTGCTCAAACAAGCATGGTAGCACTAATTTCACAATCAAACCATACACGCTAGAAATAATTTATTCGTTACATTTGTACTAATGAACTATTTTGCAATTAACAGAAATGTCACATTATTAAATCATAACTTAGTTTTTTATCGCAATCAATCATATAGAATTAAATGCTCAGTGTATTTATTAGTTTTCAGTGACAATCATGTATATATAAATACCGATTAGCATAAAGCAGATTATTACATATATATAATTTATTAGCTTAAATATCAATTGAATACTGTATTTATTTTAAATAATAATCAATTATTTTGTAAAATAATTCATCAATTAAAATAAAGCATCTGGTATGATAAAATTTATAAGTTGCATTGATTGATTAATTATAATTGCCACAATAACTCTGTTTGTTATGATTTATAAATATATCTTTAATCTAAATATTAAATCATTAATGATGAAATCATAATGCATAGTATATATGCAAATATTGACGTTAATTATTATTTTCAATGTTTAATAATTTTATTTTTAAATTACTAATTTTAATAATAACAATATTTTAATTTTTAATTTTTTAATATTTATAGTAATCACTAAGATTCACGTATATATTATGTTCTCATGAATGTAAATAACTTTATTAAAATTTAAAAAACTTAATTAGCAATTCATTTTTTAGGTTGAGGAATAATTTTCCAATAATACAACGAACCAGGGTTGTTCATATCAGCAGGCGATGGCACACAGTTTATCGAGTGTCCACTACCATCGTCAATATTCGGATTAGTATCGCCACCTGGATACATTAAACATAAAGATTCACAATGTGCTTATCAATTAAAATTTAAGTTAATTGTTACATAATGCGTTATAAGTGTCGTAATAGTTAATAGGAGTAAGGCTAAACTATATTTTAATTATGCAATTTTTCCTATTCGTAACAGTATGCTAATTATTATTAAATATACAGATATCTGTACTATGACCCTGATTATAATTAGTAACAAAGGTCACTCAATCATAGGGGTTAGGGATATAATAAATGACATGTCTGACCGCAGTCCTTGTTAAACAGCAATACGTATCCACTGATAGGTGCGGCCGATACTTTGGACACGTGTCGGCAATTTAATGAGGGGTCTCCGTGTGTGAACCGGTAGTAATTGCCGGCCGGGACCTCCAGTTTCTGAAATGTGTGCCAAAACGACGCGTTACTCTTGACGGGTGCGTTGGGAATGGTACCGCTATTTCCGCACCAAATCAGGTAGTCTTGTGTCGCCTGGTTTTGAAAGGCATAGTACTTGTAGGTACTTATAGTCAAAGACTTATTAGTCCGAAAGTCAATGAGTGGGACCGGTAGTTGAGCACCGGTAACTGCGAAATAGTAGATTAGTGTATTTTATAATCAATGATTGAATTTACTATAAAATCTTTATATATAATTTTTATTAGAATTTATCACTATTAATAAAAATATTAATGATATACTAGTTTATAAATTATACATATAAATTAAATATAAAATATATTCATCAAAGTTGTTAAAATACCTTGTCCATTAAGATTTATTAGTATAGCACTAAATAATGAGAAACTTATGGAAATAAACTTTTTACCCATTTTATAGCCAACACGAAATTTATTAATTATTTTTTAATGGTGGTTTTAATCATTAAATACTCATTTAATATTTAATAGCGTCGAGCTTATGTAAATATTTTTTACAATTTCATATGGTGCGATTTCAATGTACGGTACTTAATTGCAACAGTACTTGTACTAGTAGCTGTATAGTTGTTTTTCACAAATGCAAATTATAAATTTAAATTAATACACTGGTTAAACAAAGTAACACACATCACAAATTAGTACACAATTAAACAATACACTGGATAAATTATTTATTTGGTGCTTTTGCATTATATATTATATAATATAAAAAAGGAGCAAATTAATTAAACCGAGACTCAATTTGTTTATTGCTATCAATAAAATAAAATGTTCATTGTATTTAGTAATTTCACGTGACTACATTAGTATTTATGCTAAAGTAGATTATCGTATTTAATTTATTAGCTTAAATATAAATTGTATAATCATTATAAAATTCAGTATTTTTTAAATGACATATATCAAAATATAGTGACATTAATGACACTGATTAATTATTCCTATCTATTATATTTTCAATATATATTCTGTTTGTTATGATTTTTAAAAATATATTTATAAGAATCGTTAATGATGAATTCAAAAAACATAATTTCTATTCAAATAGTCATTTATATTTGAACAATTAATTCAAATATTGTCTTTATTTTTAGATTACTTATTTTAAAGACAACGATATTTGAAGTTTTAATGCATTTATTCAAAATATTATTAGAAATGAATGTTATTGGCATTGAATAATTATTGTAAGTACCTGGGTCACCTGACTTAAAAAAACAGTTCACAATAATCATAGAATTTAATGAATGATTTTGTGTCACATTTTGTAAAAATATTTTTAATTATAAAATATATATGTGATGGAAAAAATCCAATGAATAATTTTTAGTAAAAATCTAAAAGGCCTCAATATTATAATTGTTTACACATACAGTATATCATACAAAATATTTTATAGTTATGCCCTTTTAGATTTTTACAGAAAATATGAAATTATTCATTGAATTTGTTGTCTCACTTATATTAGTCAAAGTATTTATAAAAAGTATTGCCCCTTAAATAATTTTCACCCCATTTATAAAATAATTATATTTGTGTGTGAGTTTTGAACATGAGATTATAAATGTTGTAATATGGCTAAAAGTGACCAAGATATAGACTACCAAATATGAAAAAATAAAACTTTTAATAGACATATAAAAACTTTAAATGTTTAATATTTATTTGTTCATACTACATAAATCATTTCATTCTATAGTGGATTGTATTTAATAATCAACATTTTTAATTATTTATTTACAAAAATTATAGTTACGGTAATCTCGTTAAAACTATTTTGAAATATTATTAATAAATTATTTGATGTATTTAATAAATTGATTCTTGATTCATTTACACAAATATAGGTGCTTATTCAAAATATTATTACAAATTAGAAATATGAAATATGTTTTAGGATTTTGTAATACAGTATTAATTATTTTATAGTCGTTACGCCCAATGTATGGTTATTCGCAGATTTTAATAAATAATATCGCTATCAATGAGATTATCTGAAAATACATATTAGATATATATTATATAGTAAATGATCCGGAATAATATTTCAAACCTCGTATCCCTTGAATTGGTTTATAATGAATAGTTTCCAACAATAAAAGCCAATCCTTTTCACACCTATTCTCTCCATTACTGACAATAACTATAAAAATAAAACATTAATTAATTTAACATATTATATGAATACAATAAATTGATAAAATTATACCTTTAACTTTTGTCGAGCATTTATG